TTATAAAAACCTACCTAATTAATCATTATTATAAATATTATCATAACTACCATCATCAATATCGGAAATTTCTAATTCTTCATGATTGTCATATAAATTATCTAAAGAATCTGTTATAGAACAATTTACAAAAGAATTAATAATGATTTCCTCAGATATACCTTCCCAAGAACGTTTTACCCAATTACAAACATCACTATATTTAGCGCGCCTAAGATTTCCTGCAGAAGTCACCTCAGCACCACTAGCTGTCATCTATAAATGCCATTCTTTACGGAGGTTATCCTTAAATGGTTTATTAATGGCAACATCAAGCAGTTGGCATATACTTGTTAAGCCACCAGGGATAACTGCTAAATCAATATTACCATTATAAAATTTTCTTTTACGGATTTTTCTAAGTAACCTTGAAAGGAATCATAAACAAGCATTGTTGGTGTCATAGATCGATTATTATTATATTTTATCATTAGATTTGTATCCATCCATCCATTATTTTAGAACCAAACTTCCACACCAGTAGGAATTTATTCATCACGATTCAACCTTTTTCCTTTAAATATATATATTGGTGGCAGTTTACTTCCATCTATATAAAAAAAATGGTAAAAAAATTAAAAAAAAATTGATTTTTCGAAAAACTTATAAGATACAATAACTCTTACCAGCAGCACAAGTGAGAACAATGGTAAAACGATTTTTGTCATTGCCTGTTTCACGAATATGAACTGTTTTTTTACCTATTTGATTAACAGTGAAATTACCAGTCATGTCAAACTATACTGGCATCTCATCTATGTTGAAGATATTACACATTTCATAGGATTTTTCAATCCTAAGGCGAAAAACAAATCGATGGAAATTTTCTAACAATTTCTCAGTTTGTTTTGGAAGTTTTTGTCTAATTTTTGTGTGCCTTCTTAAAGAAAGATTCCACCTTTTCATAATTGCATATAACCAACGATTTGACATTCTAAAAATTGTTTGTTAAATCACCATAAAGAGCTACAATATCTTGCTCTTTCATAATTTCTAACATCTTGACTCAGATGATAGTATAGGTTATAGCTAAACCTACTTTTCTTTGATCAATTATCCAATAATAGAACTTTTTTTCAGCTTTGAAAAAAAAAGCCTTTCACCCAGAACCAACACGTTTGCTATTTCTGCTTACATTATCTGTCCATTTTTTGCTTGCTCTAACCTAGCGTTTAACCATACTTTCATTAAGCTTAAAATGTGCTGCTGCATTATTTCTTCCGAATTCCTTTGCATAATTAACAACAACTTCTTTCTGTTCAATAGAGTATGAAGTTCAGGTTTGTTTGGGAATTTTTGCTTTAGTTTTACTTTTTTTGACAACCCGCTTGCATTTTTATGGCATTGTTATATTTGTGTATGGTGACTAAAAGCAAGTATGACCAAATATTACGCATATTGTATTACATATTTTTGCATTTGCGTAATAATCATGATTATGCTGATCATTGCAGATTATCGCAATATCGCGCAAATCAGCATTTATTTTGGACTTTTAAAGAAGTCAAATTTTATAATTTTTAAATTACCCGAAAATAAGCACCCCATAGCAATAAAGGGTGCTTATTTTCAGGACTATATAGTAATTATAAATATCTGTGCGTATAATAATGATATAGTGCTAATTATACGTAGTCTAGAAAAATGGCATCAGAATCATATCTACAATTAATTATTGTAGATATAAATATGGATCATTTTATACATCCCTTTAGATGTAATAATAAACCTATCTATCATTTAACTAAAATAATGAAGTATTATTCTTTTTGAATAATAAAGTATCATTAACTAGAATGATAAAGTATCATTCTTTTTGAACGATGAAGTATCGTTCTTTTTGAATGATGATATATAATATTAACATTTTTGATTTAGTAGTTCATTTGATGATATTAAAAAAGTTTATGTTGTAAAAAATCTGAAAATACAAAAGAATCTTTTTTATTATTTAATAGTAATAATTTTAATATTAATGAAAAATTAAATGTAATTTCATATTAAGAAAAAAATAAAAATTTTATTTATTAAAATTCGTTAATATATTAATGATTTCTATAAAAATGTTCATTTTTCTGAATAACAAAAAAATTTTTAAAATTTATTAAATATATATATATTTTAAATAAAAATAAATAGAGTTTATTCTTATATTAATTTTAAATTTTTTGTATTATTTTATTATAATAAATAATAAATTTGAAAAAATACATTACTAATAATAATTTTTAAAAGTATCTTTTTATAATAAATTTACAAGTTATTTTAAAATATAAATAAAAAAGAAATATTAATAGATATTTTTAAATTATTATTAAAAAAAAACTTTTTCTAAATGATTTTACAAAATCATTTCAAAAGTCTATTTTTACAAAATAAAATAAATATGAATAATATTTTTGAAGTTAATGTCAAAAAGAATTCTTTTCTAATGGATTTACAAAATTGTTTTTAAGACTTCTAGAGTCTGTTTCTCTAATTCTCTAAAATCAATACTAAAAAAAACTTTTCTTAATAGACTTACATATTATTTCTAAAATTTTTAGAATCCATTTTCTAAAAAATAAAAAAAAGAAATATTTTTAAGTAAATGCTGAAAAGAACTTCTCTAATAGATTTATAAGATTATTTTCAAAACTTTCTAGAATCTATTACTTATAAATAAAGAAATAGAATATTTTTGAAGTTAATGTTAAAAAGAACCCTTTTCTAATAGACTTACAAGGTTGTCTTCTAAAATCTGTTTTTTATAAAATAAAAAAATAAAGTTTCTTAAAAAACTCTAATACTTAATTTAAGATAAATTTTTTTTTAAAAAAAAAATTTACCTAAAAAATATAATTTAATTCAATCAAAATTTGCTTATTGAAACTATCATTTTGCATAATTAATTTTTGTATTGAAGTATACATAAAACTTATAAAGTAAGTATTAGTATTTTTTTTTAATTAAAAGTTTTAATAATTTCTTTTCTAATTATTAAATAATTTAGATCATAAAAAAGAAAATTAACAAATTATAATAATATTTTAAATATTTTATCATTTTTCTTTTTTATTTCTAATGGTAATTAATATAGAGCTTATTTTTTGAAAAGATAATATGTTATTGAAATTATAATAATTGAATATAAGATAATAAGATTAAAGTTCTTTTGATATGTATTGATTCAATAATTAAAATTCTATTTTAGAATTATTTATACATATTTTTAAGGCTTAATAATTCTTTATTTTATTATAGCATTATAGTTTAAATATTTAACCAATTAAAGATCTTGTATAACCTATTAAAATGAAATCAAAATTTCATTTTTGGTTAAATAAATCAAGAACTTGATTTTTTAAAATATTTTTATATGTTAAAAATAAAAATTATAATATATTTTAACTTCTAATAATCTTAAAAGATAAATAAATTTATTAGATTTGTTATATTAAAACATATCTAATAGTTAGCAATTATTATATATATTAATTTTAATTTTAAAAATAATTTATTATCTAATAAATAAATTGAATTTCTTTTAATAAGACCTATTAAAAAATATTTTTAAAATCAATAAATAATAAGATATATGAATTTTTATAATTTATAAATTATTTTAAAAATATTTTGAAAATTAAAAATGATTTTATTATTAAATATTATTGCAGGCAAATTTGCTTAAACCCATTAAGATATTATAAATATTTATTTGTATAATTAAATATTTTAAATTCATAATGCTATATTTTTTCATATTATATCATTTTACAAAAATACTTTATAATTTTTAAGTAGTATTAATAATATAATAAAGATTTTAATAAGATTTTAAAATTTTTATAAAATAAGATTTTTGATAAAACTTTAAAAAATATTTATTTAAAAGTTTTTTAAGTTTTAAAATCAATTATCTGAATTTATTGATCTTAAAGATTTAAAACTTATTTTTTTTTTTAAAATTTTAAAATAAACTATTTAGTTTATCATATTTAATTATTATTAATTTTAAAGTAAATATATTATTTAAAATTTTTTAATATTTTTTTCTTTTAATAATAATAATATTTTTATTTAGATGGTAAATTAAATAATATTATAATTATTATAATAATAGATTATGTATTATAATAAATATAAATTATATTTAAATCAATTGTTAAAGATATATTAATACAATTGATAAAAAAGAATTTTGTTTAAAAAAAGGTTATAATAAAAAAGTAATAAAAAATGCACTTTAAAAATACAATAGAAAATCTTTTTTTAGAATTATATAATATATAAAAATAGATTTAATTATATATTCTATAGCACTATTTTTAAAAATATAAAAAAAGAACGTATTTGAAATTAATTAAATCATCATCATCAAGTTAGTATAGTTTGATTAATCTTTGTTTCACTATCTTAATTAAAATATTGTGAATTGTTAAATTTTACTAAAAAAAAATCAACTTATTCACAAAAGAGTATTTATTGGCTTATTATTTAGTTAATTCAATCGATCCAAAGCAAACAATTAATTATGCATATCAAACATATATAAATTGAACTTATTATCTTTCGATTTTTAATATTTTTAATTTGCCTATATTGACTAAGTCAAGCCTGTTGCTCATATTAAAATTTTAGGTTCACAATTGGAATTTGTGTTCTCGGAAATTATAATTTTTATAGTTAATTAATGTTGATCAAGGTTATATTTGAATAAATCATGAACCAATCACGAAGATCTGACCTAGTTGATACTAATTATGCGAAAAATGTAAATAACGGTGCGTGACAACTTCACGACCAACTGATTTTTTCATGTGATGGGAAATCTCAACTCCTTTACAAAAGATTATTTGTGATTATTCGACTGAGAATATATGCGTGTTTATTATGTAAAAAATAACAAATAATTATATTTACTATAAATCATGGAATGCAATTTTTTTTAGTCCTAAAAAGTTACGTGTACCCGTGATATTTTACAAATATTTATTGAAAAACTCAAAAATTCTATTCCATGCCAACTCTTGACTTTTAACATTAACATCAAGAAAACCTTGTTCTTTACGCATCTTCAACGCACGTTCTTCATTATTTAAAAATCCATGATCTTCTCCATCATATCTATAGATTGTAATTTCTTTTCCTGCTGCATCCATTCTTTCTATTCCTTCTTCAAGATTTCTTTCAAGCGACTTGGCTAAAATAAGAATAAAAGTATTTAAAGAAGTTTTATACAAAAAGTAAACGACGAGACGATTATTAGACTTTGAGTAATTGCATACCAGCATTTTGATCGCTGAATCCGGTTTGTTTATCTTCGCTTCCGAAATGTCCCTAAACAAGATTTAAAATCAATGACTGGGAAAGTTTTTGATTTTATTAAAAAACCATATTCGAACACGGTACCTACCTGCACAGGAGATTTTAAAGCAACAACAGATACGTCACAAATCGTTGGTGATGGAACACCATAGCAAGTAACAACAGCACTTAAAGGTTTTTTTGCCGCCAATTGTGATGCAAGAGCAAGGCTCATGGCCCCTAAAATACAAAAAAAAAAAAAGTTTAAAAAAAATTTGCCACTTGCGCAGGGGTGAAAACAATCGACTCTTGTTTAATGAAATTCACCTCCCATGCAAAATCCAATGGAACCAATTTTTCTAAAACAAAAAAATAGGTGATTATTGAATCAATCATGTTGACAATCATTTTTTCACAAGGATGAAATTGGTTTGAGACCCACTCTCGATTTTCTTTTCTCAATGAATCAACAAGAACCTCTAATTCTACTAACGATTCCTTCCAATCCAAATTCTTTTTCAACAGTATCAAGCAAAATAACATATTAACAAAGGTTCGGAATTAAGTACGATGAATATAAGAAAATTCTTCTAATGAAGAAATCACTTACGGACATCAAATGACTTGCTTCCTGATAATGTAATTCTCAATCAAATTAGTTATGTAAAAAGCGCGTCTTTACAAGATAGATCATGAAAATTGAATAGAATATACCAACCTCTTGAGTTAAGCCAAGTTTACCTTTATAAAGATCAGGAACAACGGCTAAAGTATTTGTATTATCGGCAATCTTTTGAGCGTGAATCTTTATTTGTTCATTGATGCCCCACCTATTTTTTTTTTTTTTTTTTTTTAAATTATTGAAGGAAATATTTGATTGTTTCACGAAATTTTTTTTTAATTGGTGATTCAAAATTATTTTCATCGAGATATCAAATTATCGGTTACAAAAAAAATAAAATTCCCAACAAAAACGGAAAAGCGCTTACCATTCTTGCAAAACTATGATAGCGGAACCCTTTTTCTCTTGTCCACTTTTAGGTAAAAATCTTAGGGTATTAAAAGGTAAACCTTCTTTAACCTCGGCAGCGGGCTTAGTACTACTCATTCTTCTTGTAATTAAAAAACTACAACCAATTTTAAAAGAATTATTCCCAAAAGAATTCTCGTTGATACCTAATACAAAAGGTTTAACGTGTAAATTACGAATTTGATAGAGAGATATTTTTTGTTTCGGAACGGGTGGTTGAAAATTTAACCTTTTTATAGTATTTAAACTAATTTTTCCCATAATAAAGGGTTCAAACTTTTTTAAGGATAAATGAAACTCTTAAATATTTTAATTTATACAAAAAAGAAAGTTGAGGAAAAAATAAAAATTTTTATTCTTTTTTTTTTTTTTTTTTTTTCTCTTCAGAATTTATATCAAGAAATGATGAATTCATGAAGTTAAGATGAACCTAACCACCGAAAACGAGTTTATATCGGGTAAAAAAGATAATTAAATCTAACTTTTTAAAAAATATACTCATTCTATCGGATCGTACGATACTTTGATTAAACAAATCGATTAAATCGATTCAATTCACCAAATCCAAAACGATTCGCACAAAAAGTCCTATTGGCTTTCATTAAGGAGTATATATTATATTACAATTTACTTTATTCGTATGTAAAAAAAAAGTCTTAGGAACATTTTCTATTTATTATCTGTCATACACAGGAATTTCAATTTTTGCTTGGTAATTTTATTTATTTATTTAATTTTTTTTTTTGAATTTATATTATTTTAATAATAATTTCTTTTTTTTCTAATTTTTTTCCCTAAAAATATATATATATAAAAAAAAAAAAAAAAAAAAAAAAAAAAAAAAAAAAAAAAAAAAAAAAAAAAAAAAAAAAAAAAAAAATACAGAATATAATAAAATAATACCAAGGATTAAAAGAAACAATCACGATATAGATCGATATACAGTCAACCTCTCTAAATGCAGTCCCAAGCATATAGACATCATATTGAAATTTTCTCTTTAAATGCACACCCTCTTTAAATGCAAATTTTTTAAATTTTCACTATGATCCCAAGAGTGCATTTAGAGGGTTTGACTGTATATTTATTTATTTTACCAGCACTACACACGTGATTAATTAATTGGGACATTTTTTTTTTTTTTGAAAACATAAAAACATGATGTTATAAAACCTCATATATTTTTATTTATTTATTCTTTATAAGCATTTGACGCGTTCATAAATACAGTAAATGAAGACGTATTTGATGTTCTTAAAATTCTCGCGTAAATTTCTTAAAAGCAATCACAACTTCCCGTTATCTGGTTTAATCCTATAACCGGCCCTTGGAAACCAAATCACAACCTCAAACCCAGTTTTATCAACGTCATGAGGTCTAATCCCAATAATCCTATCTCCTAAACTAACAATCTTACCTTTAACAGGAATTTTACCATAGTCATCCGGTTGTATGGCAACATTATCCCCTAATTTTCTTGTAGCATCTTTTTGATCTTGCTCAACTTTTCTTTCCCCATCATTTAAAGGTTTAAACTTTTTAGCAATCTCTAACGCTTCTTCACCGCTAATCTTTTTCGGTTTGATCCCATTTGATTTAACATATTTTAAAAATTTTCTGTACCAAGAATAAGTTTTCGGATATAAATTAGGATTTAAAACATCTTTTGCACCTTGAATAACACCTAAAAACCAAATATTTGTTGCTACGTGAATATCAAAAATGCTTGGATATGGCGTATCTAAGAACCATTCTCTATCATCATCCGAAAATTGTAGCTCGACCCATTCAAAGTTGGATCTAATTTTATCAACGTTATATTGTCGTGCCTGTAAAAGTATCTCGGGTTTAACTGGTGTTCCCAATAAGGAAGATCGATCTTCTTTGAATTCTTTTGAAGAGAAAAGTTTTGGCATTGAAGGATCTTTCGAATCGTATGGAAATATCCCTAAAATGCTAGGCAAAAAGTAACGCTAAAACATGTTAAAGTACAGGACGAAATTAGAAAAGTAGAATACAAAAAAAATTATATATGAAGAAAGTAATTTTTACATCTGTCCACATGGATATGGCTAAGCCCAGTCCCCTGTCACTTTTATCGGATCCATTTCTTTTTGGGAAAAGAGTTGGTTCCGGGTATCTATAATAATAAATATTTTTTTTAATTTAAACAAAATCGAATGTGATAAATCGATTTTTTATTAACCTTCGTTCTAATTCTTCAATAATCGATGCAGTATCAACAAAGATATCTGATCCGATTTGAAGAACCGGAATGCGTCTGTACCCATGAGTTAACGGTTGCAACAATCTAAGAAATTCAAATGATTGTCGTTAAAAAAAGTAATACTAGAACGAAGAATAAATTTTTTTTAAAATAAATAAAAGAGAAGTTTTACGGTCTTGGCATGATTGGAGGTACAATGACTGAAGTCCATTGTAATTTCTTGATGTCCAATGCCCACAAAATCTTTTGGGAAAACCCCGAACCTTAAAAAGAAAAAGAAAAAATAAAATAAAGGTCAAGTTATCCAAATAAATTCGAATAAATTTATATAATACCTGGGTAATGATGTAAAATAATAGGAGGTTGTTCCATTAAAAGGTAGGATGATGATGATGAAAATGATAAAAATCGAGCTTTATTTATAAACTTTCATGTGATAAATTGATTTACAAAATTCGCATTTCACATTAGTAAACACTAATGATTTCGTCCAATAAAAATTGAAAATCATCTTTTTTGATCAACGGGATAAATTATTTTCACTTGTGCAATTACAAAGAATACAAATAAGAAAATTTCCCGAGTAATGCTATTATCCGGTTCATTTTCTACCGTAAAAGGTTCTTTTTAGTTAGCAAAAATTCAAATGCATTATAATAAACGCGTTAAAAAAAAAAAGGCTCAGAAAATAAATTTCGCCCTTCGAGTTAACAATTGTAATAACAAATAAATTTTGTTATATCTGGTTCGATGGAACTTCACATGTTAATTAAACATTGATTAGTAAGTGAGTAATAAAGTTCAAGAAGGAGTTAGCGTTGGATTGTTAAAAGCGGTGCTACTATATTATTTTGGATTTTTTGGTGTCTAAAATTTGTTGAATAAATTATGGAATCTTGATATAACGTAGGTTTTCCTATATTTGCATTCGGAATGGGGAGAGAATTCTTTTGCTTGTCATTTGCGCTTTATTATATACGCCATAACGGTGTATGATTTCAATGAATCAATCGCGATGATAAGACAATTATCCGGGAAGAAGAAGGATCGCGTGATTTTCCGCAGTATATCTTTTCGTACATAGATTTCGTTACTATCATATTTGTTTCCTCAATTTTAGTCCTTTTAGGTTTCTCATTGAAGCTATAGTCATACTAGTAAGGCTAGATTCGTTTTAATGGAGGGAAAATGGTCGAGGAGGTCAAAATACAGTCACGTGGGCTTATTTGAGACACCGGTTTGTGAATTTGGTGCACTTATAGGTTGCTAATTTAAATGTGCGCTTCCAATAAAACGCATTAAAAAAAGTAGGAAATGTAAAGATATGGGAGGTTTGCTATTAAAATCATACGAACATAGTGAATCATATGATCCGTAACGTGATTTTAATAGCAAACCTCCCATATTTGAGGATGATAGTTTGCCCGGTGTCAGTCTCGAAAAACAATCAAAAAACAAGGCATTTTCGATTATCCATTTAGTTACGTTTTTTGGTAGGATTTGCTGATTTACTGCGGAAAGTGAAATTTTTTATTTACGTAACAGTAGTAAATCAGGAATTGGTTATACGGATCAATGTAAAAAATAATCGCGTCCTTTTTAATTTATTTCTTTCGAGAAAATAATGATAATTTATAATGGTAAAGTTCTTTGTTACGAGTATGAAAGAACGAACCTTTAAATTATTCATCAGTAAATAAGAAATTTAAAAATCAAATAGATTCTATTTGGAATATATTAAATATTTTTAATATTTCCAACTTTTAAATATTTTTGGAAAGTTCGAATCGCGTGTTAGTCACGAACAAAATGTTCAAGAAGAATCTTGATATCGTATTATCAGTCATTTTAGTCGAGCTCAAGTGTTCAAAGAACATCTTGATAGAATTTAATACAATTTTTATCCCATTTTGCGAAGTAACGTCAGGCAATGTTTGCTCAAAACAAATCTTTAAAAGATTAGTTCGATAATGAATTTGATGAAGTATTATACTTTAAGGCGAGTTTAGAAACTTATTTATTACAAATTTTATGATCCTTAATAAAATTATAATTTTTAAATAATCTTTAGATAAAACCAGAGAAACCATGAATCGATTGATCACCGGTGCCCATTCGGAAAATGAAATATCCGTATCCGAAATAAAAAAAGCGATTGTTCATTTATTTCTGCATTATCGTTATCGTATTTATGAGAAAATAACAAATTCAATCTTGAAAAATTCATAAAAGGTGTTTATTCAGTGGAATTTTATTTTAAATTTCCAATTGCTTTAGGATAAATCATAAAGTTCAAGTGATCAATTTTAACAAAAAAACGTGTACACAAAAATATAATATATAATAATATGATTTATATTTTTTAATTATTAAGAAAGAAATATTCTTCTATTTTTTTTTAATAAATTTATTTTAAATATTATAGTAAAAAAAATTAATAGCATAACAAATTTCTCTGTGCTTTTAATTTTTTACCAACATTTTTTTTTAGTGAACAATTAAATTTTTTTTATCAAACTATATTATTAATATATATATATTTTTTTAAGTTTCATTGTCCAAAAAGAAATAATTGCCACCTATCATTTCGAAAAAAAATTCAAATAAATTTAAATCAATCCAATCCAATATACGTAATATAATTGATTACAAATGTTATCACTTACTTGATTTTTGTTCTTTATCTTTCATAGAATCCGCTTTATTTATTCTTGGCCTAAAATTAGTTGGATCCCGTCTAAATGTAATCTCGAGAGACCCAAGGAACTTATTCATACCTGAGAGTAGAGATTGCGGGCTAAAAATGTACAAATAAATAGATGATTAATTAATTAATGAAAGTGCGTTTATAAACGATCACTTATTGCAAACAGTGCGCATTACTCTAACGTACGTATTTGCCATAGCTTTTACAGATGGTAAGCCTTCATATACAACAACACGATCCGCCAAATAAGTAGCCATAATGAAATCGTGCTCTACCACAAAAGCTGTTTTCTTGTTGTGAAGAATGAACCTAAAATAAAAAATAGACAAAAAAAAAAACCTTCAATAAAACCGTTTTAAAACTTAACATAATCAATCCTAAACGACATATCTACCGTTTGATGACTTTAGCCGCAACAACACGTTGTTCAGAATCCAAATATGCAGAAGGTTCATCAATCAAATAAATGTCTGCAGGTTGGCCTAACGCCAACACAATTGCTACACGTTGAAGTTCACCACCAGATAAACTTGCGACTTCTTGATCAATGATATTTTCAATTTGCATGGGCTTCACAACATCGGTTTGAAATTGTTGATGCATGAACATGTTTTTGATCTTTTTAAGGAATAGGCTGCGCACGGATCCCGGGAATTTTGGTGAAATCTTTTGTGGTTTATAACTAACATTCAATTCAGGTACTTGTTCTTCACCATCAGCTTTGATTCCACCAGCCAATAGCTTGATAAACGTTGTTTTACCGGTTCCATTTTCTCCAAGCATAACAATAATTTCAGAATCCGTAAATCCGCCAGATTTAACAGTCAATTGAAAATCACCTATTGATCATGCAAGAGCTTTTATAAGTCATAGATCTAAACTAGTTAAAGTTCATTTTTAAAATACTTACCCAAAGTTTTTTGTCATATCGGGATATTTATATATTCTATGCTTTTCTACTTCCTTTTCATCCTCGGCAGTTTCTGCTAGTTTAAATGTTAGAGATTCCTCACGGAATCTTAAATTCTCGGTTGGCACCTTACCATCCAAGAATATATTAATGCCTTCACGAACCGAGAAAGGCATAGTAACTACACCATATACTGAGGGCATACCATATAGCACGCAAATGAAATCGGAAAGATAATCCAAAACCGATAAATCATGCTCTACAACAATGACATAACTTTAATGCAAAAATTAAGTTAGATTGGAACTATTTAAATTTTAAAATAACAATAATAATAATATAATAAAATACCTGCTCGGGCCTAATAAGTTTCTTATCGTTCTAGCAGCATTCAAGCGTTGTTTGACATCCAAATACGATGATGGTTCATCGAACATGTAACTAAATCAAGGCAATGAGTTAAAAACTACCCAATCCTTTCTAATAAGGTAGATTATAAAACTTACATGTCTGCTTTTTGAATGCACACAACAGCAATTGCAAAACGCTGTAGCTCTCCACCAGATAGATCAACTACTTGACGGTTCAATACGTCTTGTAGATCTAAAGCACTAATCATATCTTTCTTATTATCTCTTTCCAATTTAGCATCAATCAAATCAGTAACTGTCCCTTTGACAGCTTTTGGGATATGATCTACATATTGGGGTTTGATAATTGCCTGATTTCAAAATGAAATAATCCTATTATACTCACATGAAATAAGATCAATATAAAAAAAAAAATTTAAAAATGAAATTAAATCATTACCTTCAAATTATCTTCCAAAATTTTTGTGAAATAGTTTTGCAATTCTGATCCACGAAAATATTTTAAAATATCTTGCCAATCCGGAGGATCCTTGAGAAAAATAAGAATTTAACTGATCAATCCGATGTTAAACGCGAAAACGTATCATAAAGTGAATAAAGAATACTTACTTCAAACTTTCCTAGATTAGGTTTCAATTTTCCGGCCAAAATTTTAAGTGCTGTACTTTTACCAATACCGTTAGTACCAACCAATCCGAGAACTTGTCCAGGTCTAGGAACAGGCAAACGATGAAGTTTGAAAGAGTTTGCAGAATAACGATGTGTGACTTCTTTTTCGAGATTTGTGGGAAGATTAATAATCATAATAGCACCGAATGGACATTTCTTGGGGCAAATACCACAACCGATACATAATTCCTCAGAAATGAAGGCAATTTTGCTATTCGGAGACACCTCAATGCAAAGCTTGCCTGCGAGAAGATAATCGTGGTTATAATTTGAAATTTTTAGTTCAATTGAACTTAAATTCCCGAAACTAACTTAGATCGCGTGTCAAAATGCCTACCCATTCTAACAACAGGACAGGATTTTTTACATTCCTGCCTGCATTTTTTCGGTTTACATTTATCCGAACTAACAATAGCAATTCTCGTAAGTTTGTCACTCATAATGACAAAATAAAAAAAAATCTACACGAAGAATTGGAAGGGCGCTCATCTTTTTTAAATCAGTCACATGTCATTCGTTTACTTGAGTCGATGAGTCATATACCGAGTCATATACTGCGGATTCTGCGGAACCGCAGTCAGGCAAATTAACTATAAAAAAGGCCGAATACCGCAACCATTGATTCAATTAAAAATGAAAGTCACTGAACAAGATCTACAAGAAGCTGACGAATTAATTACTACCCTTTCTAATCTAGATAAACCTAGGGAAAAAAGGGCTAAAAGGTTGGTTAAGAAAAATGACTATGTTCACCAACCCTCTGGGATCGCAGTTTCTTCATGGAAAATGAATGAATGGGACTACAAAAAAGGTCGAACCCCCACAAAAATAAGAGGGTTATTTACAAGACAGGTGAAAAATCGATATGAGATAATCATCCGTGGTTACGATAAATTCTTTAATGTCGGCGAGGTGTCCGAGACTACGGTATACTTGTCTTTTTCATTTGCATAATGATCCTGATCAAGATTAGTTGATATTTACAAATTATATAAAAATATACTCAAATTAATGTCTAGTGGGAACATTTGGAAATGAATACATTAGGACCTTACGAGATTACATCCAAAGAGAATGGATGTATCATATTCATTGGTGGACTTCCAGGGGATCATATTCTTGTTACAAGTAAACATTCAATGGGTGTAAGGGAAGATGCCGTAGCCCATGCCATTGTAGGTGAACAATGGCTTGACACACATTTGGAAAAAGCGGGTAAAACTAAACAAGAGTTGGCAAGGTTCTTGTATGAAAATAGATTAACTGCGGTAGCAGAGGTAAAAAGAATAACGTCCTTTATTTGACGCGATTTTTTTACCAATGATCATGTTTGCTCGTGCCTTTTATTTACGACATTCGATCCATCCTTAGTTATGTGATGACCAATTTGAAGAACACGTGTTACCATATAATACACCAGATCGTCGTGGATTATACCTTCATGGAATGAATTTAAATACGGTCAACCTCAAAACATGGCAAAGTGAAATGGTTGCAAATTTCGCAAAAGAATGGGGGTTTCTTTCGATTCCTTTCTATGTAAAACCATCTATAACAGAAGTTAAAAGCTTTATTAAAGAAATCAGACAAAGTGGATCATTGGAAGACGGTATTCCAATCGAAGGATTCGTTATCAGAGCAAAAACTAATTCAGGGCAAGATTTTTTCTTTAAAGTTAAATATGATGAACCGTATCTTATGTATCGTGAATGGAGAGAAATTACTAAAGCACTTTTGAGTAAGAGGAACCCAAAAACCACTTATACAATGAGTAGACATTATCTTGAATGGGTCAAGGAAAGAATTATAAAGCAGCCTGAACTTTTCAATGGGTATCAACAAAATCATGGAATTTTCCGCGTTAGGGATATGTTCTTGGAATATTGGAAAAATAAATTTGGCGCCGAAGAAATTCCAATAGAAGAAAATCAACAATACCACAAAACCTTGTTGGTTCCAGTTGGGACTATCGGATGCGGTAGGTGTTTATTATGATGGTGAGGTTCCGGTTATATGTTATTTACTAAAATATTCATTGACTACAGGAAAGACGGTACTCTCTGTTGCTCTAGCTAAACTGTTTTCATTTGTACATATACAAAATGATAACATTGTTGTAAAGAAACCAAGTTTGGAATTTTACAAAATCATTAATGAATCATTCAAGACTCGCGACGTTGTAATTGCGGACAGGTAAAAAAAAAACCACAAATGTTCCTATTTTCAAGTTAGCCATCATCTAACGAATTATTTCCTTATTCAGAAACAATCACCTTAAGGACTTGCGTAGAACTTTGTTAGAAGCTGTGAAAGAAATTTGGCCAAAAGTCCGTATTGTGGCTATTTATTGGAATCATGATCAGCCAGATCAAGAGATTTTTCAAATTACATCTACTCGTATAATTACTCGGGGAGAAAATCATCAGTCTCTCACTCCAGGCAATCCAGATTATGAGAGAGTAATATGGAAGTTCTTGCATGACTTTCAACCTTTGGATTCAAATAATAACGTGGACGACCAGTTCGATGATGTAATCTGTTTAGATATTGCCAATGATATTAAAACCAATCTTGAGATCGTAATCGATGGATTACAAGGCATCATTGGAATTGAAAAACCTGGTGAAGATGCGATTAAAAATGCTTTAGACGAGATAAAAAATTACAAGCCTACAATCCGTAAACGTCAATCATCTCAATCAGCTAATTCGGCTTTATATGTTGGAATTGCTTTGGACTTTAATGTTCAAGATTTTCTTACAAGGTATTTTAAGGAACATTTACAAGAAGAACCTGAAATCTTTAAGGAATTGGTACAAAGGGATCGTATTAAACCTACACCTCATGTTACACTCGTTCATCGTAAAGAATTAAAAAAAAATTCATCCAGTGAGCAATGGAAAAAATGTATAGCAATGTGTGGTCAACCAGTAAAATTGTATATCGACAAGATAATTGTAAATGCACAAATTATGGCTCTTGTCGTCGATAGATTTGATCCACAACATATCCCTTGTAAGAATAAAATTCCACACGTTACTGTTGGCACAATTAGTAATGATGTAAAAGCCTTCCAAGCAAATTCATTATGTGAATCAATGTTGCTTAATAATGATCATGATAACGAAGGACGTATCATTAAATTAGAGAAAGAATTGGAGATAACTGGAATCATCAAAACCTTTCATTACTAATGCAATCACTGTTTAAAGATTTCAAATATTCTTAACTTTGTATCACAACGTTTTTTAAAACAATAAAAAATATTCAAAAAATTTTATAATTTCTTTAAGAATGACGTTTTGCACTTTATTTACCATTTTTTATTTATAATTTTGAAATATACATATGTTTAACTCTATCTCTTAACAACCTTCTCAAAATTTTACCAGAGGGACTTTTAGGAATTTGATCAATAAAGTAAACACCACCACGTAATCTTTTATGATCTGCGACTCTTTGAGAAACAAATTCTTTAATCTCTTCTTTTATCTGATCGGATTGAATGATATTTGTTTTTAATACTACAAATGCAGCCGGATATTCTGTTACACCGTCGTTGGAATATACACCAACTACTGCAGCATCATCAATTAACGGATGAATGATTAGAACCGATTCAAGTTCGGCTGGTGCTACTTGAAATCCCTATAGCAGAGTACATATAAATATAAATTTATTTTATTTATGATATAAAATTAATATTTTATTTTGTTACCTTGTATTTAATTAATTCTTTAACTCGATCGATAATGAAAAAATTTCCTGAGAGATTGAACCTTTAATATTTAGTCTTTTACAATAAGTGAGAATAAATTAAATTTATATACCTTGAGGGTCAGCGAATCCTATATCTCCAGTATGAAACCAACCATCTTTATCAATACACATGTCCGTAGCTACTTTATTATTAAGATAACCCTATAAAATAAACAAATTGATTAATTAATTATTTATTTAATTTAATCTACAGTACATTGAATTATATATAAATTACCTTCATAACATTTGGTCCACGAACGTAAAATTCGCCAGGTTCATTATATCCGAGCTCTTAATATATTTGGTTTTATTATTATTATTTTTTTTTACTTTAAATTATTTTTTTTTTCAATTGATTACCTTGACCATCCACTGAAACTATTTTACATTCCACATTTGGAAGGAGAATTCCAATCGAGCCTACGGAAAAAAATATATATACACGTTCAATAAGTTAAAATAAGTTACAAATTTAAACACATGACATCCATCGTTTTACCATCGACAATGTTATCAGTCATTGCGAGATGGGTAATTGGAGACGTTTCGGTTAAGCCTAGAAAGAAAAGTGAAATAAAATAAGCAAATTATCTATTATAAAAAAAAAATAATCCTATTAACAATACATACCGTAAGCTTGTTTGATTGGAATTTTATGAATTTTAGTAAAATCATTACTTAATTCTTTACTTAAAGGAGCGGCAGCGGATATAGCCAATTGTAAACTTGATAAATCATATTTCTTTGCAATGGGATTTTTAACCAAGAGCAAAACGACAGGTGGAACAACCGTAGCTAAATTTACTTTATAATCTTGAATTACACGACAAAATAGCTCTAATTCGAATTTAGGAAGAATAACACACGAAGCTCCCTTTATACAAAACATACGTGTGGAAATAAATGATTTTGTATCAGGATTGAAACTATTCAAAAACTTTAAGTACCTTAAGAATAACAAGGTGTATAAGAAAGATCAACCCGTACATATGGAAGAAAGGCTAAATTGACGAGTACATATATAAAGCGTTAAATTTATAAATCTCTTTCTTTTTAAGTTAAATCAAAAAAAAAAAAAAAACGCTTTATTTACAAGAAATCCGATGAGAGAGGTTTGATTAGTGAATCCTTTTTCGAAAGCGGATAATTGAGCTAAATTTGATACAATATTGGTATGTGTAGTTTCAACTCCTTTATTCTTTCCCGTAGTACCAGAACTATAACATAAGTAAGCAGTAGTTGACTTCGCTTCTTCTGGTGTAAATTCAACAGGAATAATTTCTTGATCAGAAATGAAAGACCAGAAAGGTTGAATTCCGTTAATTTCTTCTTCACCGAACAAAAATATTTTGGTTTTGGGAAAATTTGCTGCGGCTGCGCCTTCAATCGCGATTGAGAGCAATAAAGGATTAACGATAATAACGGATGCGTCAGAATCTTTTAACTGATGAGTGAATTCATTAACCTTATATGATGGATTAATTGGAGTGACTTTTCCTCCTAACAAAAGAAGAAGTTTGTTTTACTTTGAATTTATTGGTGGGAACGGAACCCCCCTCCTGATAACCTACCAGCTGCAATTGCACCAAAGACTACTGTCGAATAATCAAGCTAAAAATAGAGTATCAACCCTTTAGCAATGACGCTCTATCATATTTATTTATTGAGACAAGAATAATTCTTACGTGATTAAGAGAGAAAATGGCCAAAACGTCTCCACGTTTAAATCCGACTTTATGAATTAAACCAGCCGCAAATCTCTTTGTATCCCTTTTAAATTCACCGAAAGGTAATTTTTTGTTCGTTATAGCATCAACAAAGATGAGTTTTTCATCATCAATTCCACTAGGATTACTCGTAATGTATTGATAAACTCCAATTTTCGGAATTTCAATATCGGGAAAACGAGATTTGAAAATCATGATTGATTTTTTTGATATATATTATTTAAAAAAAAAAAAAAAAAAAAAAAAAAAAAGCGAGAAGTTATAAAATAATCAATGAAACCAACCTTTTATTTGTTTTTAATTTCATATGAAAGAGCGACTTCTCTCCCTTGATAATATAATTTTGACATTAATTACCTTCCTTATATAGTAATATATAACTTAAGATTTTTGTTAAAAATATTTAATACTAAAAAAAGGCTAAACCTCCTTTAGTCAACAAATAAATCATATGGACGAAATTCTAAAAAAAAAAATTATGGATTAATAAAATTCAAGTTTATATTACTCGATAAAACCCGGTTTATTAGAAAAATTTGTAAATTTTGATTTAATTAGAGCAAAAAATTTGTATAGTTCATATTAGAATTAACAGAAATATATCTTTTAGTGATATTGATTCAGGTATAATATTTATTGGTAAATTAGCTATGTACACTCCCCGGTCAAAAGTATTGGACCACGTGATTTTCGATATTCAAATTGATGTAATTCTATCGATCATAACTTTGTCTACAGCAAACGAAATATTATAGATATTCTTGTCCATTCTATCTCATTTTTTATTGTTTCAAAATGATGCTCAT